TTGCGTTGGTTTCCTTTGAACTCGTTTGTTTTGCTTTGCGGTCTGTGCAGGTAGGTAACAAGGGATGTTTAAAAAGGAGGTTGATTTTGCCTATTGGAGAAAAGGGAAAGGATTGTCCTGCTTCTACCTTTCGCTTGCCTGTATGTTGAATGTACTTGTATTTTGAAACTTATAATATCAACACGTACCATGAAAGAAAAATTGTAAATGGAGATAAACCGACTTAGTTCTCCTTGAGAATTGACCCTTTCTATCAAGAAATGCCCACTTATTTTTCGAAGTCCTCATCATTTTGTGTTTTCTTTTAGTTTAAATTCCCAAGTCGTGCGGGAGAAAGAGATGGATAGTCCGCGTTGGGTTTAATCACCCTTTCTCTCTGGAAAGCATCCAAGGCGGGGGTTTGTATACTTTCGAAGTCGGCCCTTTTATCGATTTGGAGTGGACCCAATTCGTCGGGGGTGGTACTTTGCCGACTCGGTGGTCACAGCCCAACCTCTGAGATCCGGGTTTTCGGGATCGAGCGAGGGAAAGGAATATCCACAGACCACTTCCTAGGTAGGTGACGACAAAATGTGGGCCAACCTTCGTCGAGTCCGGAGCGACGTGGGGGTTAATTTATGTCCTTGCAGGTGGTCACCTTATGCGTCACCGTTAAAATAAAAAATTGGAGACATAAGAAATTCCAGCCCACAAAAAGAAGTAGGAAATGAAGGTGATGGTTCTCTTTATGCAGTGATAATGATTGCGGCTTTGTTTTGGGTATCCCTATGATGAAGGTGAATACTTCATTATTCGAGGAACAGAAAGAGTAATTATTGACAGGAGGACAAAGCGACCAACAAATTTTGTATCCACTAGATAAAACTTTTCTCCAAGCAAACTGCATATGATACGGAAGTGTGGTCGAACCGAGAGTTCAAACTTTGGCCAGGAGCTAGATTACTTGTTGATCTACATGGTAGCAGTGAAATTTACTTGCAGAAGTCATTTCTGGCAGGGTTTAGTAAGCGTTGATGGATTAAACCGTAAGTCAAAGAATAACTTTGGCAGATCATCTTATCAAGTCAAAAACCCATCTTATGTGATTGGATATAAGATATATCGATTTTATTTATTTTGTGACCAGAGAGTTATAAAGGGACTAGGATTATATTGTGGGTTTCACACTTGGTTGAAACGTCCTAGTCGACCGACGTTCGTTTCGTACCTAGGAGATCAGCGCCTTAGGGAACGGACAGCGTTCGAGTTCACTTGGCATTAACCAAGCATACCTATACTCAAGCGAACGAGTAAACGCCCTCGGCTGGCCTAGCTCTGCAATTACATGTAAAAGCTTTCGCACGGGGTCAGTAGCTTGGTAGGGATACGCCCCTGAGGGTGGTGATAGCCCCTCAGGGAATGCAAGATGTGCACCGCGAAAACCTATCACGTCGTAGGGGACCGTGGGATGTACAGCCGGCGCACCCGGCTAGAGCGGCGAAAGGAGCGATGCAATCGCGTCCGTCTCGGCGGTTCGCGGGATTATTTTTATGTCGTTCCCGAGTTGTCTCTTATTTTGTTTTGTTTAACTCCTGACTGACGTGGGCGGGAGCGAATGCGCTCGACAACGCGTCTGTCCATTCCCATGGAGTGTCAAGGCGTGCCAAATCAGTCAAAGGGGAGTTAACCGAACTATAGTTCTTCACGAAGTTTCGGTAGTAGCCACACATCCCTAAGAATGATCTGACCTCCGTCACAAACTGAGGTCGTAGCCAGTCACGATGCTAGCCACCTTTGCATCTTTGGGCCTAATCCCTTCTGCGGATACCTCATGACCCAAGTATTAGATTTTTGTGTGACCAAACTCGTATTTCTCTAAATTTATCTTATATTTGTGTTATTGTAGGAGTGAAAGTAACTTTTCTATATGTCGAGCATGCTCCTCAACAGTTCTATTGAAGATAAGAATGTCGTCGAGGTACACGACGATATACTTATCCAAGTAGTAATGGAATATCTTATTCATGTCGTGCGGGAATGTACCCGACACATTGCAAAGGTCAAAGGGCATCACCACAACGTACAGACCGTACCTGGTTTGAAAAGCGTTCTTTTGTTGGTCCTCTAGTCTAATGGCAATCTGATGGTACTTGGGGTTTAAGTCTATCTTGGTGAAGTACTTACACCCTTGCACCCTTTCCAGTAGATCGTCGATGCGCAGTAGAGGCACTGCATTTTTAACCGTGATGGCATTGAGGCCTCTATAGTCAATGCACATCCTCAATCATCCCCCCTTCTTTGGTACAAATAAGAGGGTGAGCCGAAGGGGGAGGTGCTAAGCCGTGTCCAACCCTTTTCCATAAGCTCTTTCAGTTGCCGTCGAAGTTCGTCTAACTTGGCCGGTGCCATCCTATAGATTCGTCCTTTGGGTGTCCAACCCTTTTCTATAAGCTCTTTCAGTTGCCGACGAAGTTCGTCTAACTTGGCCGGTGCCATCCTATAGATTCGTCCTTTGGGTGTCTTGCTACCCGGGATTATCTCTATGGAATAAACAATCTTCCTATCCACGACTCCTGACGGCTCCTCAAACAGATCGGGGTACTTAGCGACGACAGATATTATCTCTGGGGGTGTTTGAACCGCCTCTCCTTTCTCAAAGACGAACACTAAGTACATACCCTCCTCTTGGTTCTATTTATAGTAGTTATGGAACGATGGTGCACACAAGCACCCATAGGAGTCAACTAACCTGCTAGCCTTGTACTTAGCTAGTCCAACGGTTCTCCCATTAGGCAACTCATGCCATCATTTTCTTGTCCCCGTCAAACTGGGGCTTGGCAACCTCGAAGTACTACATTCCTAATAACATGTCAATTGACTACGAACGAAATCTAATGATCAAGTTCCTCACCTCGATAAGAGAAGGTCCAGACCACGTCCCTGATGTAGTCCTCTACCAACATGAGCTCTTTGTTGGCCAAAGTAGATACTCTGGCTCAATGCAGTCGTGACTTATGAAATTCTTTGTGGAGTCGATGTCTACGAAGGCACCATACTTGCGGCCACCTACACCAACTTCCACTACGAAATGCCCCCCTCTACGACTTAGTGCCACCCAAGACTCACGAGGGTCTCTTGCCAACAACTCACTTTCCAGGTCCTCTAAGGCGTCAAACACATCCAAAGAAAACATAGTATCAAAGTCAGGATGCATCTTCAGGGTGACGAAAGAGTCAATAGCTTCGACAAACAATTGAATTGGGCAGGGTACATCGCCCACTTCATCAGGAGTAGAAGCAGCTACAACTTCTACAAGCCCGATGTGTTTCCCGAATCGGAGCTCGTAGAAGCCCCACCTTGGGAAGAAGAATACCCAAAACCACCTTTGGGAGGAATCTTCTGCGATACCTTCGCATTCTTGCACCTAAACTGCTGATGGTCGTACTCGGTTGCATACCGTAAAGGTGCAGACCAGAACAAGAACTGACCTCTCTCACGAAGTACAAGATAGCGCAGGGGAAAACTTAGATACCAATGTTCCGAACAATCAATATTGCAATGCAGCCCTGAACATACATCATCATCATCATTCCATGGTGTGAAGGGGTCTGGCGCTCACACAGGAAGAATGCGCCAGCCCCAACCATACACAGACGAAGAAGAGGAGGGTTAGACGAAGAAGAGGGGAAGATGGGAATGTCGTCAATACCAAGTCTTCGACACATGCTCAAATAGTCCCTCGTCAAAATGTTTGAATTCCAATGTCGAGTCTGGATCCAATGTCCTCAAGTGTCAACTCACCACTCTCTCTCTGTGTCAATACTGAGAAGTCAGGTGGTGAGAGGGGAAGAAGAGATGGTGGACTTAGAAGAGGAAGAAGAAGAACTCTCTCTCTCTCTCTCTCAGTCCGGTACTAACCTGTGAAGTTGGCGCCTTGCTGCAGGTACCTCGAAGATGGACCTGGAGCTATGGAGCCACAAGTAAGTCTCACTGGCCTCTGCCAGCCATCTCTCCCAAACACTACTACTACCACCTATTAGCGCCCAGCGTTGAAGACTACTGCTACTACTACTAGCGCCCAAAGCTGAAGACTACAACTAGCGCTAAGCTGCTCCTGCAGCACTCCTCCTGAGTGCTGCGGCCGAATCCTGAAGACTACTCCTGCCTTTTGTCCAACTACCTACCCGTGAAGTGCATGGGAACTCCCTATGTACTACTCGGCCTGCCTCCTGACTGCAGGGCGAGGCTGTCCAGGAGGCTGCTCTTGCCAATGCCGAAGGAAGTCAGGGGCTGCCGCAGCAGCTCCTACTGAGGCTGTCGTAGGAACAGGCCAAAAATAGCCTGTTCCCAAAACCCTGGTTTTGTGCCTGAGTGTTAGGGCACGTCGATCTTATGAGGGCCCAAGTGGCCCTCCGTTTCAGGCTGAAAAGCCCTGTTTTAGGCTGAAAACGAAATAGGGCCTGCAGGCCCTCGTTTTTAGTTTTCAGGCTGAAACGACATGGGGCCTGTAAGCCCTTATTTCTAGGCTTTTAGGCTGAGAATGCGGAATGGACCCTGCAGGCCCGTGTGGCTACAGAGTATGCCACACCCCCCCCTCCTTGAAAGACTGAGCTTACCTGCGAGGGCGAAGCTGTCTGTCTGAGGGAGGGACCACAGGGGCAGGTTTGCTAAGCTTCCTTAGCTGGTCTTCGTTGCTCATAGTCGTCGTAGATCAGCGGTGCGGATGCTTGCAAATCTGCGAACTTGGTGTCCAAAATGTCGAAGGACACGGCCTCGCTTACATGCGGGGCGAAGTACACAAGGACAGGGTCAATGCACCGGTCGATTGACTTGTGCGTGTGACTTTCAACCAACGTGGCGTGGGCTGCGACTTCCTCCGAACACGTGGCCCCAAGCCCTTGCGTACCAGAAAATCGTGGCCCATTTAGTTGCGAATGCTTCCGCAATTGATCAAAGCGCTGCAGGTCGCCTCTCCGATCTGAATGCGTATGTACAACAATCGTGCGTCGATGTCGTCGTACCGTTGTGTCTTGAACTCGCGGTCGATCTTTGCAACGTAGTCGTGAAGGTCGACAACCTCTGCTCCGGCGTCCACCAACGGAGTTGGTATTGCAATGTGCAAGTAATCCCGCAATTGTGCCATGAGCACGTTGCAATGCGATTTCGGCAATTGACCGGACAGGGGAAGGGGCATCCATTGGAAGTCCGCAAACGTCAACGGGTCGAGCTCTTCAAGTCTTGACCATGACATTGAATCCCCGGCGATAGATGGTGGCGAAGCTGCGGAATCGGTTGTCGATGGTGATGAAACCGTGCATGCGGTAGATTGTTGCACGTGGAGTGGTTGGTCCAACGGTGGGACCAAGTGGACAGCGTAACCCTCTTAAGATTATCGAGGACTTGCGGTATGCGCCTCCTCCCCAGATGTGTAGGGAGGCCGCTAGCAAGGCGGCCAAATCTGGCGGAGTGAGAGGTGGAGTCGCCTCACCTCCCGCGCAACTCACTTTCCGGAGTTGTGGTACTGGCTGTCCATTTCCGGCCGGCGATGCGGTTTTCGCCTTCCCTTTTCTCGGGAGTTGTTGTTGCTTCGCGGCTGGACGACGGCCACCTGATCTTCCTCACGTGATGCTTGGGTGGCTGCCGGGTTTTCCACAATGGTGTCCGGTTGGACTGCAGCGACATGCTGCGGACGTGGACCAAATTTTCCCTTCTCCACATGGGCTGGCTGCCATGCTGTCTTCTCGTGTGCAGCAGCCCGGTTGGTCTTGATGATCTCTCCAATGGTTCGAAATGCCGGAACTTGAGCTTTTCGATGCTGGTGGCTTCATGCCGCTGTAGCAGTTCCTAGGCCTCCTTGCGTTGTGCCTGGGTATCTGCTTCAGCTTCGGCTTGAAGTCGCTGTTTCTCAGCTATTGCCGCCGCTTCAGCCTGTAGGCGGACAGCCTCGGCTGCCACCAGGCGCTGTTCCTCAGCCTCGATCAGTGCGAGCTGAGTCGGGAACCACTGTTTGTACTCGGCAATGGACTCGTTGGCCAGTTGGCCTGGCATGCCCAGAGCTGAGCTTGTCATGGTGGCGGGGCACTGCTGACGTGGCACTGTACCAACCCGGAAATGCCTGTGAAGGGGTGGGTGGGAGGGAAAACGCAGGTAGGGAACCAACCCAACAATACTTTCCTCCCGGCCCTAATCAACAGATAAATAAAAAAAATAAAAAGAGGACTACTTCCGTTTTTTTTTTTTTTTTTTGTATATCTGTCGATCTGCTACGAGTGAGACATGTCAGAAGAGTACTATGAGCGAGATCTAGGCTAGGTTCCGCAAAGTTTCGGCTTTCACAAACTTGCGATCTTGAAAAAAATAGAGTAGAGAATCTAGATATGCGATTTTCAGAAAAGAACTAAATCCAGTTTCTGAGAATATGGCAACCTCCTAATATGCCTAACGAAATGCTGGTAGGCTTCGCAAGATTTCGGTTTTCAAAAAAAATTTTGCGAGATAGAATGGAGATTCGATTTTCAGAAAAGAATAAATCCGGTTTCCGAGAATATGACCACTTCTATCGTTATCCTAATATGCCTAGAAAACGNTGCGTAATAGGGTATGTGATGATGAGCAGCATTGATTGCCCTCCTAGGAGGGGATTAACTGCTCACAAACCATACCTTCGTTACCCCATCCCGCTCCGCCCATCCGACGAAGCGTAAACCATTCAACAACACCCTGGTGGGGGGGAACCTAAATTATTTCCCAGCGACCCCATCCCTACTGACGAACATCCTCATCCCTACTGACGAACATCCTCGTCAAGCAGTATGGAAATCAATCATCCTACACAGTACAGTATTCCTCCAACACGAACCAGGAAGACAACGGAAACCCTAAGCAGTCCCCCTACCACCTGAGGAACCACCACCACCCCTTCCTGATTGGAATTGCGGACCGGGCAACTCCACACACCACCGACTAACCCACGCCCATCCGCTGCCAAACAGCAGCTCTGGACGCCCTGCTGCACCCACGGTCAATCTCCATATCATCCATGGCCTCATCGCTATAACCCTGGCTATCGTTGCTGTGAGTATTACTATTGGTGCTATCATTGTCCGCGACGCCAGCAATTCCAATAGCACCGCAGTTGTCGTTTGTTACGGTAACCCCAAATAGGCTGTAATTGATATCTTCGAACCGATTGTTGTTGTTGTTGTCGTTGTTGCTGTTGATGTCGTTGTTGTTGGTTTTGTCGGCGTCATCGTTGGTGTTATTACCACCACCGCCACTGTTGATGTTGTCGTTGTTGTGGTTGTCGTTGCACCCATTTTTGATGTTGAGGCTATTGTTGCCTCCGTTGATGATGTCGTTGCTGTCGTTGTCTTTGCACTCGTTGTCGATGTAGAAGCTGTTGTTGCCGCTGATTTCTTCATTTGTTGTCGCTGGCGATGTCGGCGTCAATCCGTCGAAGTAGCCCATCAATCCTTCCTGCAGAGCTGCACATCGATCCTGCCCTATCCTGAAGATGTCATAGCATCCATGCATGAGCAGGCCAGCTCGATGCCAATCCACAAACTCATCGAGCGAAGGAGCCGGCCCCTCCTCCAACTCCCAAATAATATCGAGCATGGCCTGCATCATGTCCTCCAGCCATAGCGCCAGTGAGTCTGTCCCCCCTACAGTCCCTAACTGGCCCCCTTGGCTCGAACACAGAATATCCACGACCTCTTGCAGCCGGCGACCGCCCTCTTCAATAGTCTGCAACCATTCCGCCGCACCTCGCCGAAAATCTTCATTAGAATCCATGCCGTCCATGTCGTCCAAAAATGCGTTGTCAGATCTTACAAAGCAGACGCCTCACGCTAAAGTACCGTCTCCTGGTGTACCTGGCAGAATATACACCATCGCCTGAGCAGATGACCAAGCGGACACCACTGTGACCAAGGACAGCTACTGTCCCAGTCCACGGAGTATGGCTGAGCCTCGCCAGCCGGTCCGTAGCGCAGGTCAGCGCTAAGCGTCAACGCGTCCGTGAATCCTTCCACTCTACCTATTGCTAGTGGCTGAACTCCTATCCCCGGTGTGTGCAGCCCCCCATTATTTTGTAGTCATTTCAAGACCTGTTTCTGAAACCCTTTGTACCCGTTACACCTTGTACCCTCTTGTAATCCCGTGCTTGTCACAGTAATGCACCTTAAASCCCTTGACTACCGGGAAGCAGTGAGGAGGGACCAGATCCATTTGTCAAGGGCCCTGCTGTGTGTGGTGCATGTGTCCTCTCACACAGTGATAAYCAGCAGCCCCCCCGTTGTTTACAGTTACARYGTCTATTCTTAAGAGATCTTTTAAACCCCTGAAACCTTGAAACCTTGTCCTTTCTCAGGACCCATGCGTGCCACAGTCTGATCCTTGCACCCGCGGCTACAGGGGAGCACTATGTGTCTGATCTCCTTTTCTCCCATTATGTTTCCCCAGTTTTAGAAGCCGTTCGGTATCAGCGTCATACCCCCGACCCCAACCCTGTTACGGGGGGGGGTGGGGGAGGTGTTAGCTCTCCTCGAGTGGCATCCTGAGGTGATCCCGTAAGTTGTCTGATGTACATTGACTCCTGTGGTCTTCACCGCCAGTTTGGACAGGTTGGAGCAAGCCGGCTGGACAGGGTTGGGGAGGAGGTGGGCGGCAGGGGAGGTGCAGTAGGTGCAAGTTGGGACATAGGGGGGTGCTGGGAGGGGAGGGCAGGCTGGGACGACGATGACGGTAGGGGGGGCTGTCTCTTATACACATCTAGATGTGTATAA